GAGGGCGTTCATCCCCCCCCCGGGGCGTTGGGAGGGTGTTGCTTAGAACAGCTGGACTCAGCGAATGGATACTTTGTTTACTTTGTCGAATTCCTGGTTGGAGCAATGGGCCGGATCATGTGTCCCTGTTGGGAAGCTGAATACGGAAACGGGCGGGCAGGCTGGGGGTGCCGAGCTGGCGCCGGGAGATGACGGCAAGGGTCTGGCGATCCACGGGCATTCACCGAAGGCGCAGTTCGCCGTGGTCCATGGCGTGAACGGGGTAGATGGTGATCGGCAGAGACTATGCGGTGCTGGTTTTCAGGGTCTCTCTCAGGGTCTCTCGCGGGATCTCTGTTTCCTTCTAGGGATGGTCAGGTCTGGGGGGGGGGTTAGGTTCTAGAACACAATGATGGTCTGTAGAGGCCAGATGGGCCCGACGCTGACGATCCACTCGTCGTGGCCATCGTCGTAGTCATCGTCGTGGCCACCATCGTGTGGAGCAGGCGTCGTGTTCACCGGCCGGCCGGACATGGCGGCGGCAAGGAAGACGTCTCCTTAGGAAAAATCCCCAAACCCGAGAACACACCGATGCTTGCGAGACCTGCCCGAACGAGTGCTCGCTGCATCACGAGGAGAAGCCAAATGGATCCCTCGCCGTGGCGTAGAAGAACCAGACAGACGAACGGGGCGGATCCCCGATCGCCCCTGGCTGACGACTGACTGGGCAGGCCACGGCGCCCGGCCGCGTCCTATCGCCGACATTTCGTGTGTCCAAGAATGGAAGCACGAGAGAAAATTACCTATGTAACCAAAAAACGGAAAGCTTCGATCTGCGCTTCTTTCTTGCCCCCTCCCCCGCAGCCACCGACTTCACCATGCGTTATCTTGCATGTCATCCCGGCCGCCACATCGCGCGGCTCGCGTCGCTCGAAAAGGCATGTGATTCTGCCAACGGTACGCAAAGAGAAAAGGCGACCGGCTCACGGCACACGGCAGAGGGAAGAAAAGGGAGGTGGGGGGGCAGAGTGGATAGTCGACCCAGAAAAGAATAAAAAAGAAGAAGACACGATCGAAAACCCCGAACAAGACGACGCAAACCTCTGGGATCATGCAGCACGGATCGTGAAACAGACCACCGCAATTTCACAGCCGGACCAGCCCTACCTGCCTATCTGGGCGCTGCCGTAGCCCGCTGAACAACTACTCTCTCCCATGGCTGCTGTCAAGTGGGCGAGGGCGCAGAGCGAGCCCTCTCTTACCCGGCGCCAGAAGCCTGCGTCGAATGTTCCACGTTCGATCCTCCTCTCCCACCACCCCCCTGGCTCAGCAATCTGTTTCTTCCAGCCTCCCCTGGAAGCCCATACCCATACCACATGCCCCCCCTCCCCACTCACCATGTCTTCTCTGGCGAGCGGAGGCCGTGAAGCCCTGAGGCGGGAAGCGTGAAGCGCGAAATGCGGTCCTTGACGGTGCCCCCTCAGAAGGAAAGAAAAATGTTGGGCACCGCTGCATGAGGCAGGAGGGAGACGCAAACCCCTCCACCCCCGTTCCGCTCCTCTCCTTCTTTGTCGTGGCCTTCATGTCCTCGTCTCATCATTCCTGCCCCTGCCCTGCTCATGCATTCTTCCCCGTGCCCCGTGCCCCCGTCTCCCCAGAGAGAAGAAGGAAGGTACAGCAGGGAGAAACCTCACGTCAGTAGGTCCCTGACGATCTCCTGCCCTCCAATCCCTGCTCGTAACTGGGTCTGTGGCCACTTCAACTACCAAAGACGGGAAGGACCCCAAACCCTTCCCTTTGTTATTCCCCCTTTGCGCACCAAAAAGGGGTCGA